ATTCTTTTGGATATATATAATAATAAATGTATCGTGGACAGTTTACGAACCCAAATTGCACGAGAAAATATGCATACCCGGAACAGCGCCGTGCGCGATTCGAACCCGCGGCCACTACGCCATGGAGGCGTAATATAGTTCTATAAAAATATAGTCAGTATAGAAACTTAATATCTAAAACACGCCAACAACCCCGTTACTTCTTTTCATTTATCCTAGAAATGCATGACACAAGCGTCTGTAAACCTAACATAATGAAAATATATTAGTGGCCTCATTATTTATGATTCAGGAGAGAAATAATTTTTGCTATCCTAGGGACGGTTGGTGCATAAGACATAAGTCGTAGAGCTTCGTAGCATTCCGTAGCAGACACGTAGCACAATACGCTGAGTCAACCGCACGCCTTACCGCGTCTCGGCATAATAAGCTATCTCAATAAATTCCCTTTATTTTAATGGACTCGCTGTAGGTATAATTGTAGTGAATGAATTTTTCTTTAAAATAGATTATTTCCTGTTTTAATATTTTTCTTATAAGCTAAGTGTGAGAAAACGAACACACCGCCCACCTGATGGTAAGTGGGTGCTGTGGTCCTTGTTGTGGATAGGCATCTAGATCTATCCTCGATTAAGAATGCTTCGCTTCCAGATAAAATGGTCTCTAGATCTCAACACTCACTACATAACAGCTTTAGGTTTCTATTTTACGATGGTATTCTGTGAGAACGCGGTCCTTCCCCCAATTCGACCCAGTCGTGTTTCAACCACAATTTAGCAGCAGTATGGCGATACCACTTACAAAATTTAAAATTAATATTTATTTTCCGTTTTTAAGAAATTAAATTCATATTTTATTAACAACACAGAAGTAATTCGAACCAATTTTATATTCATCTTGGGAACTCGTTTCGATAAACTAAGCGATATATTCTTCGACGCTGTACTCGTTTATTGTTTACCTCTAGGTGGGGCGCTTTAAAGTTCAACATCATGGATCTTGCTTAACTCAGACGAATATTTATGACAGTATTATTCTTTGAATTCAAAGCGTCTTATTTTGGTCTTTGTTATACAGCGATTCAAAGGCTATATTCGTATGCAAACATTTCGTAATATAAAACACGAGACGTTGGTCGAGTATGTTGTCATATATGATTATGCGTCGGCATGGCACTATCACTACAATGTATATTGTTCGGGGCAATGCAATTTAACTCATATATATAACAAGTTAAAGTTCTTTTAGTAATGCTTCTCTTCAAACGTTATTCCTGAAGTAGCACTGTGCTGTATCAGCGATATCCGCGCAAGTTATGATTAAGGTTTCCTTCTTTATTTCATCTGGGCTTTTTATATCAGGTGGTTTTTAAAGTTTTTTTCCTTCATTTCAAGTACTTCTTTTGGTCTTTCTTTTGTTTAATCAACCAAAAAAATGATGGATTTATTTTTATACGAATATGGATATTTCTTTAGGAAAGAATACTAGTAACGCTATTAAATTTACAAATACTGCCCATAACCATTCTAAGAAAGCTTAAAATTGCTTGTATTAAGAGTGTTTCACCACAGTTATCGAATGGCGGATTCGGACCCAAGAAGTTCTGAGTTTGCAGTTCGAACCGTATTATTAGGCTACTGTCGCTTATAAATCGAATGAATTGTAAAATTAAATTCGACTACCTTTTACTTTAAAAATTTTCGCAAAAAGTAAGTTCCCTTCCTTGTTCCCCCGACTTCGTCACTCACTTGACTTCTTAATGCACATCGTTTAACACGTGACGTCATAACGCTATCGGCAAATCTGTGTTCGCGTTATGCATAGATAAGTGTCTTTGTTCCCCAGTGCAGTAGGTAGCTTATGAAAGTATTTCGACGCCGTGGTCAAAATCGACTAGTGGAACAAAGTCCAAAAATTGAAACGGACGTTTTATAAATGAACTCCCCCACACCTGTTAACAGGCCTTCTCTCATACCTGATAATTTTATAGAGCAATAGTCCGCTGTGCTACTTCGGCGTGTGCTGGTGGACTTCACATTTCTGCGAAATATTTATTACTCAGGCATAAAGGTTTCCTTGCGATTCTTTCCTTCACCGCCGAACTCGTTGGTTGGCACTTAAAATTGTAATTAACAATTTTATTGATTGCGCTGGGGATCAAATTCTTCTTGCTTGCATATGTTATTGCTGCAAGCATTTAGCCCCTGATCTCTCATATATCATAGTTTGAAGGAGATTTAAGTTGTAGATTACTTTGTATCATAAAATTAATTTAAATGTTATTTATGTATTTCATATATCATCACTCTTAGTCGGCCCTTAGACGCTTTTCATTTATTTATGCCATAAATGGCTTTATCAAATGCAATTGTTAAGTAAAAATTTTCTTTTTCATTTAAACAAAGATTGTAGATATTTTTTGAAATTAATAAGCAATTACAATCATTATTTTATTTAATAAATAAAAATAGCCATTGTAAAACGTCATTTTTAATCTAATACAATTTCTAAATTAAGTAGGTACTTATTTTAAAAATGAAACGGAAAAAAAAGTCGACAAGTATTTCTCATATTTTTTAATTAATTTAACGGTCAAGGTCTTATAATATTTTGAAAAAGAAAAAAGAAAATCCCGTCCTGTTATTAAAAAGCATAGTCAACGCTAGGTAGTCGCTCAAGACTCTGCTTGCTGTTACACATGGCTGACTGTCTTTTTTCCCGTATCATATTCTTTGTCGGTTCTTTGAGCGTAATAGCCGGCCCCTTTATATTTAAGCATAATGATCCGTTGGGCTTTGTCAATTACTGTAGTTCTCGATCTGTCTTAACTTTACGATAGACGGCTTCAAAGCAGGTTCCGGAGCCAACCGCATTCATCGACTTTCTGCGTTCTTTTTTTTTATTGTCATTAACATCTAAAGATTAAATGTTTGCAAGCGCAGTGCAAGCACGAGCCACCGAAAACCCTTATTTTATAAAGATATGAAACTGCTGTATCTAAAATTATTTTTACATATCTAAAACCGTCGAGACTTAGAAAAACTATCACCAGTTCCATATTTTATGCCATCTTATTATTTTAAATATCTTGTACTAAATTTAAAATAACTGAAACTATTTCTCTACCAACTTGTACCATAGAGCTATACTGAAAAAGTAATATTATGTTCACTAAAAAAATAGGTAAGAAAATTTGTAGCATAACGCATTCTATTCTCGCCGCTTCTCAGGACAAATTGTCACGTCGTGTCGCATAACGCGAAACATCTTTAGAATACAGCGAATAAAGAATTCCATCTACAAATAAAATTTGCGAGTGACTTACTTCACTGGAAATGTATTCAATAAGCTACCTTCAAATATATCTTCATATTTTGTATCTCGAGTATGGATAACGATTAATTTTGTCTACATGGCTTACATCAAAATACTTCTTGTACATTCTACACGTATTTTGTGATACTGGCAATGTACAGGCATTATTTGTACTTTATTATTACAAAATGTAAACATATACCTTGTTACTAAAATGTACAACAGGTACGCTTCTGAGGAATAGAATGGATTGCTGGCTCACTATGTTTTTCAAATCGGATCAATACCACTGAGAATCTGGGTTCGCTGGATCGATGATGCTACTGCATCTGCAGCGTCTGTGACCCCGGCGTGTTCTGTTTAGCTAGGCTTTTCGTTATCCGATCCGCTTATTCACAGGTATCTATGTTACCACAAAATTAACGCCACACTGTCGAACGTGACAAATTTATTTGTATTCAGTTTTATATTCAGTGACAAACACGCGCTTTTACAGTGCCCTGAGTTCACTCGAAGTGTATGCTTGTCCCGCCGCTATACCGCACGCTCCGCAAAACGCCACTCCATCAAACGAGTGTATGCAGTGACACCCTGCGTCGTGTCCACTTACTCAGGACATTAATTCAACACAATGTGTTTGTTATGATGCAAGTCAAACGCTCTGACGGAGCTTTTCACTGAGATTCAACTTAAGGCGCCGTTGCAGTACTTTTTAACTTTGTTAAATCTACTGAAATATACTTGTTACTCAAATACAAACCTTACCTCAAAGTTTTAGTTTTTAACATACAAACGCTATATGAGAGTCTACTGTTTTTTAAAAGGCCGGCAACGCTTCTGCGATTCCCTGGTGTTGCGGTTGTTTATGAGCGGCGGTAGTCATCAGGTGAGCCAAAGCTTGCCCTTTTGCCCCTCCTATGTAAAAAGGAAGATAGAAACGTAAATCACAATAAATAATAATTAGCTCGATAAAAAAAACATAAAGGTCACGACTAAATTGTTTAACAATTTTAACGTGTCCCTTGTAGAGATTCTATAATAAAATCCGTGTAAATGTTTTTTCAAATATAATATGGCTTATTATTTTTAGATAAAATTGTGAACATATTTTATAAATTAATTTTTATGTTTATCTTATCAATAAATAATTTAATAGAACAGATCAAACCCTTTGCTAAGTCAGTCTTACTTAATTTGCTCGACAATTGCGGGAGCTGGGGTAACGTTTTCATATCTACTCACCGTACTACAAAACAGCCTTAAGTTTAAGCTTAGTTTTTATGTATTACACTTAAAATATAAATATTCTCGCTTCTAACTACATATTATGTAATATATTTTCTTATGGTCTGACTGTTTCCTGCTTCATCCAGGTGGTCAAGCATAAACTACGAATACGAGTATCTTAGATCACAATCATCATCTTTGATGATTTTTATCTTTTATTCCTTGAAGATCAAACAATTTCGTTATTAATTTTAGCATTTGTTACAATTCACTTCAGTGTATTTTGTTTAGTTCCGTCGAACGAACTGACTTTGATTTTTTTACATTTTTTTTCAGGTACCTCAATGATACAAGTTTCAACTCACGTTTGAAGTACATGATGCCAAAGCGCAACTAAGGTGCGCAAAGGACTTTCGCGACTGATGCGGTTGTGAGGTTATCTCGGTACAGCTACTGACATGGTGGGATCATGGCGCGCGCTGGCGCTGCTGAGCGTGCTTCAAGTCTGCGCCGGCGCACCCGAGGCGATGTACCACAATCAGTTTGCGGTGCACGTGCCGGCTGGCGAGAAGCACGGGGATGATATTGCGAAGAGGCATGGCTTCGTTAATCACGGACAGGTAAGTGTTTTTTTTATCTAAATTTTTGTAGCCCTCTAACAAATACGACTACTTTTTGTAACGAGACCTTTTTTGATCATAGTTCTCAGAATACCAGTTTGCATTTGTCAATAGTATCGGAAAACACCTGCAATTTCCCTGGTGTTGCAGTTGTTCGTGGGTGGCGGTCGATACCAATAAAATACTGAGGATTTGAGAGCAAAATATAAACGCTGATTTGACTTCACTTTTTTCATATCTCATGAGTTCCACAGTTATATTAATATTGATGCAACTATTAATTTACCTGAAAATAAATCATTCATTAAACAATAAAATATTGGGAATTTGGGACGTATAACGTTGAGAGTTAATTTCCCCGAGCACCTGGTGTTCGATATCGCGAATTAAATTCTCGGAGCGGAGAGTGATCGATAACTTAGTAATAGATTGACTTGTTCAAAGTGACAGATGGCTCGCTTGACGTTAGTAAAAAAATTAGGCTCTTAATTTTCTAGAGTGAACTACTAGTATTCAAAGAATTTCTTACTAACATTATTTTAAAAGGCGATATAGTATAAATGGTTGGATTCGAAAGCCTGCGCGACCATTTGTGCAGAAATACAAACCATTAATTTTCATCTCTGGATTTCATTTTGTGTTTTTACATAGTCGCGAAATGGCTGCATCGAGAAAGAATTTTTTTACTATTAAACCAGTGCTTAACTACTATCCCAACTGATGTAAGTGGTGATGCAGTTAGAGATGGTAAAGCGCGCTAACTTAACGAAAGCCCATTTACTCTTGCCACATAGACATTATTATCGGATGGAAAGATAGTAGAAGTGTGTTTTGAAGTGAAAACTTCTTTAGCATCGTTGTGATTTGAAAGTCTATCAAACGAAAAGCGATACTAAAAAGAGACAGACACATAAATTCATAAGATTTAATGTGGGAGAAAATGAGATAGGAAGCATTATAGATTAAGCTCAATGCTCGCGAGAAAAAAGTTGTAAACGCAGCCGAAACGGCGTCGCTTGCGCGTTTTGTTCAACAAGGTACAAGAAGGTGTCGTGTGCCTATGGATTAAACAAACAATGAAGAACGGCCAAACCTCAACTTCGTAATAGGTAAAATTGATATAAATCTTTTTGTAATTAGTGAGTACTATATCAATATCTCAACTCGGCTGGGCAGCGTTCGGGAAATTACAGGTATACCTCAATCTCTGAAAACTAAAGTGTACAACCAGTGCGTGTTGCCAGTGATGACTTACGGATCTGAGACGTGGTCCTTCACTGTTGGCCGTATGAGGACGCTCAAGGTTGCTCAGCGAGCTATGGAGAGACCTGTGCTCGGAGTTTCTCTGCGTGATAGACTCAGAAATGTTGATATCCGCAGTAGAACTAGAGTGACCGACATAGCCCAACGGATTAGTAAGCTGAAGTGGCAATGGGCCGGCCATATAGCTCGAAGAACCGATAACCGATGGGGAATAAAGGTTCTCGAGTGGCAGCCTCGTACCGGTAGGCGTAGTGTTGGGCGACCCCTCACTAGATGGAGTGACGACCTGGTAAGACATGCAGGAGGTCGATGGATGCAGGTGGCTCAGGACAGTGCTTTGTGGCATTACTTGGGGGAGGCCTATGTTCAGCAGTGGACTTGTAAAGGGCTGTAATGATGATGATGATGAGTACTATATAAGGTATATCGAAAAGAGTTATATAATATCGGTGTCTAATAGATATATTAAAACATTGAGTTATAAAACACTAGAGGAGCAAACCACATTACCGAGCGTCGAAAAAAGTGTAACCACTATCCAAACGCGACGACGTAGCTTTGAAACTAATAACAATTTTAAATAAACATATATCTATCTCACTCAATATAAATTAGGTAATAAAATATATTTAATAGATAATTCATGAATAAACTAAAATAAGAATAATTAATTATTTTGTATGAAAGTTTAAACGTAATTTTTATTATAATTTCCAAAATATTTAAAATCAGAGTTAACAAATTCACTTACTCCATTAATTATATAGTCTCCCATTAATGTAGGATAATCACATATGCGGAAAAGTGGCAACATTGAACCTAAATGGCAATATTCGATAATTTTATTTAATTATTTGAGGTTTTTTACGTTTATATGAAAACAAGAACTAAAAATTATGTGTTGAAAGCGATTCCGCTTGATTTATTACGTTTTTGTGACCTTGAATAGCATTGTTTCTCTACGCATTTACCCATTTTTTGTCACGGCTCAACTCTGTCGGCGCCACATTGAACACTGAACTAACGTCAGCTAGGCATATGGCTGTGGCCATATGTGCAGTGGCGCGGTTATTACTGATCTAGTGTAATATATAAATCAATGTATAAGGATTGTTACATTTATTTACTATGAAATTAAATTTTCTTATATTTTATGCCGAACTTGTAGTTTAAATTATAATATTAAATAAATCATTTAAATTATTTGTATTTTATATTTCATTTCATTTGAAGGTTTCACTTATGTCGCGTGTGAGGTGCACGCATTTTTTAATGATATTATACTTGCGATTACATTGTGGATCTATTATATAATTTCCTACGCGTTTGGTAGCTTTTCTATAATATTAGAACTAGTATCGAGTCGAGCGGCTGAGAAAACATCAAAAAAGGCGGTCAATTGCAAGACATCACTTTAATAAAGCTCCATACGTAATATGACCAATTAACTATTTTCTAAAAGAAGTTTTGTTTGTTTTGACCAATGCTTATAAAAATATTATGAATCGATGTTTTCAGTATGTTTCTTTTAATTACAGTGTTGTGTTCTTTGTGTAGGTCCCTAACTATAACAGGTCCCCATTTTACTCTCAATCATTTCACTTAATTTTAAAAATTAATTGCTGTATGATGGTGGCGAAAGTAAATCCATAACCCCACATAATTCGGAAAGATCTCATGACTGACTAACGTGGTCCAGTACACGTCTATACGTCACGAGCTCACGAGTACGCCTGGTACTTACTTACGATTGCCGTGGCGATAACAACAAATCATCCTTACAGTCCTCTAGGGCTTGGTGGCATTCCTTGGGCAAGCCTATTTTGTGCAATTTGACATTTTTTTAAATAATTTGCATGCAGCGACGCTTGAGACGAAAATTTGAAACAATTGTAACGTCAAAAGAGATGAGTTGACATTAATTGGTGTGAATTGACATGTTAGTGGCTACACGGGCTCCGCCCACTCCCCCGTTCTATTATGTATGTATTATAGTATTCTATGCTATTCCCTCGTACGATGTCTTCTGCGTGGGCTTTCTGCCCAGCAGGTCTCGGGCCTCGGGGCGTTCCTCATTACCCGGGCAATCATCACGGCCCATAGTAGTGGGTAGTGGGATTGATCCGTTCAGGAACGGCATTGTTGGCTTTCTTCTTAGTTGGCGTATTTCGCGCCCCTAGGTAGGTGCTACCGGAGGGTCAGCAGTCTCAAAGCCCCACGGAGACTTGCAGAGGACGGGTTTCGATGTAGGGCCAATTCCGCCGACAGGTGTGCGCTCCTGAGTGGCAGCATTCCGGACCTCAGGTGCTCCTTCCTAGTTGTAGGTGATGGCCTAGTATCTAGGCATTCCTGGCGTATCTCGCGCCTCTGGGAAGGGATCTGCCGAAGGGTCAGCAACTTCGAGGTCCCATGGAGACGGATCTCGACGTAGGTCCGATGTCACCGACAAGTGTGCGCTCTCCTGATAGCAGCACACTGGCCTCCGGAGCTCGCTTCCCAACGTGTTAGGTAAAACCCTGCGTTGCGTATAATCCCAGAAGGGGTCCGGAGCGATCTCAAAGCTCGACGCAAGCCAAGATCGCTCCACGGTACGTACACCCACTGCGAAGCGACGCGCTGTACTCCTCCCTCCCAGGCGGAAGCCGGATGACCGGCGGACGCGACCGGCGGCGAACGCGGTCCGGACGCGACTTGATGCTATTCCCTCACTCTCATAGAACAATGTCACGGCAAACTGACTCGATCGTAGAGAGATCTGGCGCACGATCAACGATTTTACGTGCTTTCCGAAAGACTGAGATAAAGCACCGCCAACTTTTTGCTTTCAGGCTGCTACTGAGAATGTGATAAACTCAATAAATGATTTTTTTTTACCCGACCTGCGATTCCATGATCAGTAGTCGTGTCTACGGCTATTAGACTTACGAAGCAGTCGAAAATAATATTATATATTTAAACCATGTGTTTGTACGAAACTAATGTCATGTAATGCGGACCGTTTTATTTTTATTACGTTATTTGTTACATTTTTTTCCTCTTTGTAGCGGATAATGTAAATTACAAAATAACAGTACTACAGGTCGAGACGGAAAAACGCTACATTTGCGATCGACATCGGCAATACGAAGATATTTTACGACAGATTGGAATATAGACGTAATGTAAAAGTTGTGTGTTTTATAGCGTTTTCCGTCTGCTATCGGTAGCAATCGACGTTTTTATAACTGATTAATTTCCTAAGCGAGAACCCTGTGTTATTAACATGAGTCAAATTGGAGTAAAGTGTCTTTGTGTGTCCTTGTGATAATTTAAAAAAAATATCAAACGAATTTAAAATTATCCATTTCTCGTACCTTTTACAAAACCTGAACCACGACATATTATTCTAATTCTTCTGCTGTACGCGTTAAGAAAGGCGAATTTTTCTTTAGCTTATAAACAGTCAATTATTAGTCGTGAGCCTCTTATACGTTTATCGTCTTTTCCTGACCCCAGCAGCGGATCTGGTCTATGGCTCCGCCGCCAATTAAGTTTCGGCCGTAGATGGTCGGAAAGAGGCGCGTCGTAATACCGATATTCCTATTCCCCCGCGATTCTTTCTCAGCTGCGGTGGTAAGGGGGAGGATATTCCTTCTACCGCAGCCCACCAACACACATCAATGGTTCGCCAATTTCACTCGGAGTAGCCTACTCAGATGTTCCCTTCGCCTCGGACCAGCCATGTAGGTTCTTTGTGCACCATGGGTAACCAACCCACGGCTACAATTTTTTTATTTTTCGTTGGTCAATGGCCCCACGACGTCTATGGGACAAAACGAGGTGCAAGAATCGCTTACACCACAAACACACTGCGGGCGTTCGGTCACTTAAATCCACTTCTAGCTGCGACTTTATAAGTAAACATTTCAGTATTGAGGAGTTGTACCTATTCTTTTTACTTGTTTAAACGGTTTATTTGTTTCGCTTGGAGCGTGCAAGCACCTGAGAATGTGGCATGAAATGTTTTAAAATGAATTCTGCAATTCGATTCGGTTATTCCGAGCTGCGAATAGGAAATTGTATGTAGTCGTTTCTCACACGGTTCTACATTACGCCGGAACATTATCGATCTCTTATTCAGTTTTCAGTTCAGTGGTAAGATGTCGAAATTCTGAGCCCGTGTTTGAGGAAATTGTAATATTATCTCGAAAATTATCTTCAATTTCGTATAAGTTATTACTTGATATAATTTGACATTTATTAAGCAAAAAAGATGGAGGCTTGGTTAAATAATTTTTACGGGTTTAATCGCGTTTAATTAAACTTTTTTTTACCTATTATAATTCATGACGTAGTAATAGCAATCATGATCACAGGGTGAGTAAAGCATCTGAAACGTCGGAAATTAATATGACTAAAAATAAATTAAACACGATAAATTCTTTAAAATTAGTTTAAAAAATGTCTGGTGTTTGTGTAAATATAAAAAATCACTGGCTATAGCGATAATTATAATGTAGTACAAATTTAGGTTAACACCCAGTCAGAACAAATGGCCTCGTTTTTTTTCAGTAAAATTTAAAACAAAAAAGATATAATACGTACCTAATAAACTTTCAAAACAGACACTGGTTTGAAAAAAATCTATTATACCTACTCGAGGTCTTGAAACACGGAAACGAGAATTGAAACAGCACCGGTGCTTTTATACCTGCGATTGAACGATAATTAAAGTACGAGGCGACAACTTTGCAAAAAGTCCTTATGATTAATCGTGATCGACTTTTCAGGTAATATTACACAGTAATAATTTGCTTTGAAAAAGAAAATATGAATTTTTTACGACATTTAACCTAATATTAATATATACTGTATTACAAGGAGAACATTGCAAGTTCTTTGAAAATTAAAAACTGAACAAACTAGCAAGTTCTTAATTTTATTATATCTTTTCAAAATAGTGTCCATTTACATCAATACATCGCTGCATCCGATGGAACCACTCAGAAAAGCACTTTGCTCACTCGTCCTTAGGAGTCTGTACGACGTTATTTTGAAACGCAACCACTGTTTCCTCGGCGTCCATAAAACGTTTTCCTCGGTTTCCTTTTATTTTCTAAAATAAATAAAAATCGCAATGTGCGAGAGCTATAGGGCGTGTGAATAACGGGCCCAGTAATTCCACGTCTGACGTCGCCAAGTAGTCGATTGTTTGCTTGGCGGTGTGCGACGAGGCGTTGTCGTGGTGAAGTATGATCCTATTGCGAGGTCGTTTCTCCTGAACTTTTTCCAAGAAAAGTGGCAAAAAATTGTTAGTGTACCACTTTGCAGTAACTGTTTTTCGATTCTCTAAAACAATTGTTGCGTAATGACATGCCCTTTCGTAAAACGTGGCTACCATCTTTTTTCACACGCTTCGACTTCTCTTCATTTTAGTTGGCTACTGCTCGGAAGGAAACACCCAGACAGCAGACTGTCTCTTAGTTTCAGGATCATAACAATAAATCCAGCTTTCATCACTCGTAAGTATATCGAACACAGCATTTAAGTCACCTCCGTTAAATTTTTGAACCAATCAAAACGACGGAGTTTTTGGGCCTCTGTCAAATTATAAGGGCATACCGGGCACAATGTTTCCTAACCGTTAAAGGTTCATGGAGGATTTTGTGCACTTGACTCATACCGATGCCTAAGCTTGTCCGAATCTGCTGATAAGTCACTCTTTTCTCAGTCTCTATCATACGCATTCATTCGTCGCCGTAGAAGGCCGTCCCTCACGCAGATCATCGGTGAGATTAGTGCAACTATGTTTAAACTCGATAAACCAGTGGTAAACAGTGACACAACATGGGGCTTCATCGTGAAAGGCCAATCGAAGTCTGTCATAACTTTCTTGTTGACTTAATTCGCATCGAAGGTCATAAAAATCATTGTACGAAAATTTTCTCGCGTTAAATTCATGCTAACGTATACAGACAATTTTCAATTTGCCGCCAAATCGTAAACAAATGACAAATTGATAAAGTACATACACAATAATATTGGCAAAGAGTTCCATTTTTTAATTTGAACTTATATTTTTTTTATAAAAAGAATATTAACAATGCTATAAACATTACTAATATTACCCTTAACCACTCGTGGTAAGCTTAAATTGCTTGTGTTGCGAGTGGTTGACGTCAGTAGTCGAATGGCGGATTTAAACCCACGACCTTTTTGAGTTCGCGGTCCGCGCCCTGCCATTAGGCTACTGTCGCTTTGTCGATTATATCGTTTACAAGTGGCTAGTTCTAAAACATAAAATCGTAATAATTCATATGAAATCGTAATAATTTTTCATACAACATTCACCTTCTTACGTACTTTATACATAAAAATATCAACAGAATCCTAAATTATTTACGATCTTATAGTTTGAAAATCTTTTTAGTTTCATAAGAAGTTTATATACTGATTGAAACCTCTTTTATTCTATTTTCAAAATTTAAAACATATATTAAAAAAAAACAGAGGAAAACAAAATACGGCGACAAAATTTTTAGTAATTCATTACGTCAAGGAAAATTAACAATAAAAAAAGAGATGAAAACAAAATACGGCAACAAAATTGTTAGTATTTCAAGGAAAATTAAAATTGTTCTACTGATATTAATTAATGAAAAGCGATTAGATTGTTTTTCTTTTTTAATTTAACGTGCCGAGTGAGCTTTAAGAGTTATGTCACATCGTCATTTGAATCGAGATGAAATGTTACGAGCCGTGGGCATATTATAAAATGGAGCTATTTAACGCGTCGTTGCTAAGGCCCTACACACTAACCAAAACGTGATATCAAGGTTGTGGTCACGTTATCGTAGTACTGGGGATGTGACTGAATGGCACGTCTTAGATTTTGTGTCACTAAGCATAGACAGGATCGATTTCTCCAAATAACCGCCAGAAGACAATCCAATATCACAGCGATGGAACTACTATAAAGGCTCCGAGACTCCAGACCGATGAGTCCCGGTATGGTTTTTATCTGGATTTACGAAGAACACGCGTTTGGAGAATTCCAGGGAGAGCTAGCTATCTACGGCACTTGCACTTACGGCACTTAGCATATTTTACGGTACGGAGGAACGTGTCATAGTTCATATAATATATTGATCGGTGGCTACTGTAGCACATAGATACCTGCAATCAACTTCAAACAAATAAGGCTACAAATGCGTTTTTCCTTGTTGTTGATTGTGGCTGTTCCTTATTCTTCTCGGCTAGTAATCAAACTAGCTCTTACAGAAAAACTACAGTCTGTCTCACTGATAGAAGTAGTGCATTCACTGCTGTGTTCACGACGGGAAATTCGTAGGTACTCAGATGGACTCCCATGTATAAAATGAGTCCTACTAGTATAGTAGTAATGTGTGACAGAGTCGAAGAATACATGTGGTGGAATTACGCTGTAGCGATTATGACTGTAACACGAAAGTGTAGCAACCAGGGAATGACCACGTACAGAATCGCACATAATACCAGCTTAAAATAATAGCATAATATATGATTTATACTTGCGGTTGTTGGCACTTGGTGAAACTTCAGCTTTATTTTTGTGATTTGGATATACACTTGTACTTGTTGTGGATCAAGTACAAGTGCTATACACTTAACTTAAGTACAAGTAAAAATCACAAAATAATCCCTAATCCTACTCACAAAATTAACAGCATATTTCTGCTGTATATCTTGTGGTGAGTGAAGAGAACTGGAGACCCTTTATCCTAGTAATGAGGCCCTAAATTTTGGTTGTGAATGCATTTGCATTTAGATTCTAAGACAAGGATGAATATAAGTGTACACTTTGGCCACAACATCCCCTTACCATCAGGTGGAATGTTGTTATGTAGTTGCCAACCGCACATTTCTTCTTTAGTTCTTTTATCCACTACAATATTTAGACCTTTTCAAGAACTTACCAAATAGTCAAATATTAAAAATCGAACGGCTGTTGTGTCCCGTTGGTTGAAAAATACCCGTTGTCAAGCCTGCACGTAGTGCACCACTAGCTTTCCGAAAAGTTGTTAAATCCCGCTAATACCACTATCCTTCTACACAAAATAGTACCATACTGTATTTACTACTATTTTAATAAAATTTCACTAACTTTGTTATATAAAAGGCCTACTTTTAATAATATATTATGAATAAAATAGCTAATAAGTACACCCTGGGAATTAAATCGTACATTAAATGATAACTAAATGGTATATACACTCCTAATCTTACCAATACTGCATGCCTGCTGGCGCATCCTTGAAAAGCCCACATTCCAGCGATGAACTTAAAGGCCTTTATTATATGTAATTTAAAAATAATTATAGGTTTTTATAACCATTATATTTTATTAAATTAATATAATTGTTTTGGGTCTGAATTTTTGTTCTTGTCCGATTTATGTATGTAAACTGCCTCCACGATACAGGAGAAAATACTAGTGCGAAGGTAACGTTTTTTATATTATAATTACTTATTATTTTATATTATACTTATTTATTTTCCCGATCTTATACTAAGCTACTATATTTTTTCAGAAGTATAGACGAAAACCTTAGATAAGTAGACAGATGCTCGGTCGTGTATGCGTGTTTTTGTGTTCAGTGTAGACGTGAGCATGAATTTTCAGTGCGTGAGTCGCGACAAAAGCACGAAGCAGCCGAAAAGAAGTGTGGGCCTTTCCTTTGGGCGGTGCCCGAATATCGTTAGGCGTAGGCTCTAATGTAATACGTGCGACGTAATTTCGTAGAACATGTAAGGGCTGCGTCATTTATTATACGCTATTGTTTTATTTATTTTAGTAGAAGAAAAAGTTTGGGATAGTTTGATTCTTATAATATATTTTTTATATTAAAGCATACACTCTACATAAAACAAACTAATTTAATTAAATGGAAGGAGATCAATAAAAGTTTATTTCGTTCCTATATATAAAGACTTCTCTTTATTTTATACCTAGGCTGCACTAAAAGTATCGGGAATGGAATATTTCCACTGTTCCTGTCATATTAAAATATTTTTAATTGAAAACTCCTTGGTTTTAAAAATCGAATACCATTTATTTATTTAAAAAAAGATTCTCGGTCTTGTCACAAGGTTTCGTCAAACTTATTTAGTCGTTGAGAAAATGGAATTGATTAGAGAAAATTCAAGAGCGACGATTTATTATGACTTTCGAACTGGTTTAACACAAAAAAAAAATGTGTTGACCGGATGATTTCTGCATTTGGTGATAAAGCCCCATCCAAAACCACAATTTATCGCTGGTTTGCTGAATTTCAACGTGGACGTGCCAATCTCAGTGATGATCCCCGTCAAGGTCGTCCAAAAACTGCAGTCACCCAAGAAAACGTTGATGCTGTGCGTAAGCTGATTGAGGAAGATCGACATTTGACATACCGCGAAATTCAGGCAACTTTAGACATTGGCATGAGTCAAATACAAATAATCTTGCATGAACAATTAGGTGTAAAAAAGTTGTTTTCCCGATGGATACCGCATTCGCTCTGTGAAGAGCAAAAAGCGGCTCGCGATACTTGGTGCGTCAGAACCCTTGAAAGATTCCACGCAGGATCCTCATATTCTGTGTACAACATCGTATCAGGTGACGAATCCTGGATATACGCGTACGAACCCGAAACAAAAAAACCAGTCACGAGTTTGGGTGTTCGAAAATGAGTTAAAGCCAACAAAAATTGTTCGTTCACGGAGTGTTGCAAAAAAAATGGTGGCCATGTTTGTCTCCAAAACCGGCCATGTTACGACTATTCCTCTTGAGGGACAAAGAACGGTTAATGCAGAATGGTATGCTAGCATTTGTTTGCCACAGGTCGTTTCTGAACTCCGTAAAGAGAACAGCAACCGCCGCATCATCCTCCATCACGACAATGCGAGTTCTCACACCGCACACAGAACAAAAGAGTTTTTAGAGCAAGAAAACATAGAATTATTAGACCATCTGCCGTACAGCCCCGACCTAAGCCCTAATGATTTCTATACTTTCCCTAAAATAAAGAATAAATTGCGTGGACAGAGATTTTCATCACCTGAAGAAGCTGTAGACGCCTACAAAACTTCCGAATGGAATGATTGCTTCAATGATTGGTTCCATCGTATGGAAAAATGTGTCAAATTTCGCGGAGAATACTTCGAAAAGCAATAAATACATTTTTAAATAGTAATGTTGTGTCACTTCCTTGATTCCCGAAGTTTTCAGTGCCGCCCTCGTAGTGTATTTTTCGTTATTTCTAAATTTTATCCATTCATTCGCCCATCAATTACAGCCTATAAAAGTTTACTGCTGAACATAGGTCTCGCCCAATGATTTTCTTTTAATGAAGAAGGGGTTGCCTTAGTTGCCACGCTTGGTAGGCGGGTACCAACTAGCCTAACCTCCTGTTTTTTTAATTTAAAGTTATTAGCAGGAAAAACAGTGGTAGTGGTAGTTACAACAGTGGTAGAGCCACGCGGCAGCTTTGCTGTTGCACGTATAGGCCGGCTCGAACCGGGGTGTTACCACGACCTCACAGAATACCGGTGTGAAGTGGAAGCTCAGCTTCCGCGTTTCGTCTGGTGAGTACAGGTAGCCGGAGGCCCAATTCCCCCCCCCCATCAACATGGTAGCGGAATTAAATGTTAGACTACCACAGGAGGGTACCAGTACCCTTGGCGAATCCACGGCCAGGACCAAGTTACTCCACTCCTGAGCGTTGGTGCTCAGGCTGCCTAGCGTATTCTGGAGAGGGGGGGGGGAATTCCGCTCAAGACAACAACTGCTCGGGGCAAGCTGAGCAACAAGACTAAGGCGACCCCTCCCACGCTATCCGTGAATTTCTGCAATACCGGAGGACTTCACTAGTACCTAAACGCCGTCCACTACCATCTCGAGACGGCGAAGCCGGCTCTGCTATTTCTGACCGAGAAGCAGGCGCCCCCTCCGGCTGAAGCTTCGTATCTCTCCTACTCGGGGTATAAACTTGAACACTCCTTTGTGGCCTCGGGCTGGAGTTTGCGTATACGTTAGAGAAGACATCTGTTCTCGACGCCTCGGCAGTCGGACCTGTCCATCCTTTGCCTACCCGTAGACAGCGACGACCATTCGCGCGTCTACGGATACGCGGTTCCATAGCGGTAATGCCGAAACAGACTGACTCTTCGACCACGTCCAAATGGCTACAGACTCGGCGACTTTACCGCCCACCACGCCGAATGGATAAGCCACGTTTACGTTTAACCGATCATGCGGGGAGATCGGTTCATGATTTTGCATTGGCATATTATGGTCTGACACAACTGGTTACTTTGCCTGCTTGGATTCCAGGTGTGGAGGATCATGCACCTTCCCTGTTGGACCTTTTGCTGACCTCTCATTTGGACAGATATCAGGTCTCCTTCGATGCCCCTCTTGGCCCCTCGGATCATTGCCTTGTCCGGAGTGTGGTGCCACTCACGCTGAAATCGCGGTTGCATTCTGCAAGCTGCTGCCATGTTTGGCACTATAGGCCAGCCGATTGGGATAGGATGCGGTCTTTCTTTTGCATCCTACCCTTGGGAGCAGGTTCGGCTGCAGTGCCAGCTCCTTTCACTTGACCGCATCCAGCGCAGAGTGATTCGAATCGTCGACGACCGAGTTCTTTCTGATCAGCTCAATTCGTTTGCGCTGCGTAGTGATGTTGCATCCGTTTGCGTTATCTATCGTATCTACCACGGGGATTGTTCCGAGGAATTGTTCGGATTAGTTCCAGCCGTCAAATTTCACGAACGCACATCGTGTCTAAATTCATGACACCATCCTTACGTGGTAGAGCCATGCTGCAGCTATGTTAATTGTATAATTTGAAGCTTGAATGGATCGGCTTGACCGGAGAAGGACCACGCTCTCACAGAATACCGGCGTCAAAAAGCAGCTTAATGCTGCTGTGTTTCGTATGGTGAGTGTAGAGAACCGGAGACCCTTTTTACTGGAAAAGAGGCATTCCATCTTAGTCCTCACTGGTGACAACGCATCTGCAATCTGATTCGCAAACGAGGATAGATGTAGGTGTCTGTTCGCTTGTTACCCTTTTCTTATAAAAAAATCCTCCGGATCCTTGGCGGTCCACCACTGTGCGTTTTACTAGAAGTTTTCTTCCTTGTAAACTTCTTTGTGGAATTGTTTATCACCGGCGATGTTTCCGGACCGATACGATTTAGGGACCTTCAAGAAAAGAGCTTACTCCTTTCTAAAAGGCCGGCAACTCGCCTGCAATCCCCCTGGTGTTGCGGTTGTTCATGCTCGTTTGCCCCCTCTTCTATAAAAAAAATGTGTGCATATGCGAGTGGTAGTACGGAGATCGATCTTTATAAAAAAATCGATTATCAACCCATCCATCAAGCGTGCTAGCTATAGCAAAAATCCTCTCCTGGGTAGTGGACTTAGGTAATAATAAAATGAATGGCTCCGCCCATTTACGCTATTGTAGTGTAATGACAGCGTCGCCAAAAATTTATATAGTTATGGAATATTGCTTAACATCTAATAAAGAGATTAAATGGGCTAATATATTCTCTCTTATATAGAAACAGCTTTAGTATATACGGATACAACTGTTGTACTGCACTAGTTCTGTTCGAGTGATTTCTTTGATTTTATGTTTATTACGAGTACATCCTGTAATCCTATACACGTTTTGCAGTTGCTTTGTGGTTGCTTTGTAGTCCATCAAACTGTTCCAATGTCCGTTGGTGGACATCACATGTCTCTAAAATATTTTGTATTAAACCTGAAACATTCAGGTTTCGATGTTGTACTTCGGCGCCGAACACGTGGTAAGCACTTTTGTTGTTGCCGGCGGAGATCTATCCCATGTCGAACGCGTAAAACGAGCGCTTACTCCTGAGCCTTTATAATATACGTAAAATAAAAAAAATATGGATGGATAATGGATGTGCATTTACCATTTTCAAAGCAAAATAAAATATTAGGAACAAAATTTTAACCAGTAACAACAGCAAAAAAATTGGGCCGAAAAGTTTTCTATGAAATTGTTCGCTACCCCGGCCACCCATCGTACTTACCTAAAATCTATTTAGGGTACAGTTAGTTTGTAAAAATTTAGAGAATAGATTGGTGAGCCGTTCTTGGTAACCTGCAATCATTCGAAATATTTCACCATAGAAAACGCTAGCACTTTTCAACCGTATTTATTGCAAACGCACTCCAACGCTGCAACGACGCCGCTCTGTTGAATATTCACAAAATCCGACATCGATATTTTTGCTTTGGTGGCGCGCTCCGAATTGCAAATGTATTAAAAACTTAATTGTACAAGTATTGCTTGTGTTGCGTGATACGTCAAGCGGAATCTGCACTTGATCTAGTTGCATGTGGCGGGTTAACGTTAAAACAGTGCTGCTCTTAAATTTAATTAAAAGATAAAATTCAATTTATATTTTTAATCATTTATCATAAAACAAGTTAGTAATTAATAACTCTAAAATTATTTTGTGGAATGATGGGTAATTCAATTAGTTGTGTTTTGTTAACATGGTGTATTGATACAACATTTAATGTGAACAATAGTTAGCTAAAATGCTTGAACATCGCATAGCTACGCGACATGGCTTCGAGATTCCCAAGAAATAGAATTATTTACTCTGAGTCTTTATGTAAATTACCTCCAGGATAAAGGAATTATTTCTAATGTGAGGTTATCGTTTTGAAAACAATA